ATAATTATGTCAGTTTACGAAATCATTTTTTGGCTAGGCTATTGGTACTAGTTAACGCTAACACACCATCCTCCCGCTCATCCACCACACACACGAGTCTTCTACACACGTCACCATTCACACGTCCTTCCATTTATCGACCCCCCTCGCACAATCCCGCCTTCCCAACGATCCAATCCACTCATCCATTTATCAGCCCATCCATCCACCCGCATCTCCACCATCTTCAGCTCCATCTCTCCGCATCCTCATACCGTCAGTCCATCCCATCTCCATTCCATCCTTTACCAACTATCACATCCGTTTCATCCACACGTCGCGTTCGTCCCATCCATGCCATGTATCCAAATCAATGCCATCATCCTTTTACACCCCCACCCACAATATACGTTCTTCCCATCGGATCCACACATCCTCCATTCACTCATTTGTTCGCACCAATCATCACACACGCACGCTTATCCCATCAATTTTAAACCACCCATACATTCATTTCACTCTATTCATCCACCTACCAACGTCACCACATCCCCCGTAATGATCATTGCACCCATATGCACTCACCGACCGCACGCCACGCACATATCGCACATATTCATCAACCTACTTCTACTCACGACAATCCTCCTATTCATTTACCCACCTCTCAACCACACATCCTTCCCACTATTCCTTCCGGCCCATTCCACACAACCTTTCATCTAGCTATCGACCTACCTGCACATCCTTCGTTTAGTCAATTTTTCTCCGACCACACTATATCTTCCGTTCAGCCACCACCTAGCAGCCATACACATCTCCTCCATAGTCCATCGACTCCGCCCACCCACATATCTCTCTATTCAATCCACCGCAACCACTCACTTGCCCTTCGCATCCATCCATCTTCCTTAGGCCGGCGGAGCCGGTGCCGCAAGATGACGGCCATGGCCGACTAATAATTTTTTCTCGATCATTATTTTTTTCAAGCGCAACACATTTTCGTCATCACAGGTCGGATCTACAATATTTTGCAATCCGGAAACATATAATGATCTGAAATCAACATATAGTTTAGTATACACGCATAGCTATACTACTACATGACGTGTTTTTAATGTTGTATAACATTGACGTCCCATAATGCGCACACGTTAACCGTTCAGCAAGCAGATGACGGTGATATATTTCCATTCAATCACACACGCACGCCAACGCTATTACGTACACACGCCACGGCACGCACGCACGTGTATCTGCACACGCACGCCACACACTCATGACGCACGTGTACGTGCGCAACGCACGCACGCCACGTGTACGTGCACCAGCCATGCACGGCACTGCGCCACGTCTACGTGCACATGCATGCACCAGCACCGCACGTGTACCTGCACACACACAGATTCACCACGTGGTACGCGAACACACCACGCATTCACACACGCACGCAGGCACGCACTGTACGTTCACACGACAGCGGCACGCACTGTACGTTTCACCCGCCACGCACGCACCACGTCTTACCGGTGCACACCACGCACCGCACGCATGAAAACGCATGTGTAAACGTGCATATCAGGTATGCACGGTGCCGCACGTGTACAGTCCCAAAACCACGCAGACGCACGCACGCGCCATGCACACACGTGTGCCTGCACACGCACGCAGGCACGTACGCACGCATGCACGCACGCACGTATATGTGCATACGCACGCTCGCACGCACGCACGTGTACGTGCACACGCACGCACACACGTGTACCTGCACACACACGCACGCACGTGTACGTGAACACGCACGCACGTGTACGTGAACACGCTCACACGCACGCACGCACGTGTACGTGAACACGCACGCACGCACGCACGCACGTGTACGTGAACACGCACGCACGCACACACGCACGCAGGCACGCACGTGTACGTTCACACGCACGCACGCACGCACGCACGCATGTACGCACGTGTAAGTGCACACGCACGCACGCACGCACGAACGCACGTGTACGTACACACGCACGCACGTGTACTTGCACATGCGCGCACGCGCGCACGTGTACGTGCACACGCACACATGCACGCACGTGTAGGCACGCACGCACGCACGCACGCACGTATACGTGCACACGCACACACGCACGCATGCACGCACGTTTACATACACACGCACGCACGCATGCATGCACACACGCACGCATGCATGCACACATGCACGCATGCACGTGTACCTGTACACACACGCACGTACGCACCAACGCACTCATGCACACACGTGTACCTGCACACGCATGCACGCATGCCCGCACGTGTACCTGCACACGCATGCACGCATGCCCGCACGTGTACGTGCACACGCATTAAATTTGACATGTAAATTGGCAGATGCCGAAATAATTAGGCCTATACTTAGGTATAATTAGGCCTATAATTAGGTATAAATATATATTTGTTAGAGTTTTGAAAAGTATTTTCAAGCTCTAAAAGGCATCTTGGTGTCTTAAATTTTTTAAATTGCTTGGGGGGAGAACCCCCAAACCCCCCTTTGACAAGGGGGAACCCCCCCCCCTAGAGCTCCCCCGCCACGGCTGCGCCGTGGGCACCTGACCTTCGGCCAGCTGTTCGTCGACATCTGTTATACTGATCGACATCTGTCGACATCTGTTACATTGATGCTAAATGGGCTGACCAATGTTTATTTGCTTCCGCCGGCCCTGTTCCTGGTTGCACTGTCGTGACTATGGCAGTGCTGGCTAAACCACAGTGTTGGATTTATTCCAGTCACAGAGACCCTAGCTATCGTTCACTCGGAATCGAGTTCCCTAAGGGGAATAATAATTAATGAGTATACAGCTAGTCATTTACTGGTCCACGTACAAACACATTTTCATGGTCAGGCCATCCGAACACTATGTATTCGCTCACGACAGTGAACCAGCCTAGTGTCCGACGATGGTTAGGCGAATGTTACCATACCAACGAACTGTAATTTGTGAGATGATGTGTTCATATTGCACATGCAGCAGCTAACCTGGGACGTGGACGCCAAACCGGATCCGACGCACATGTAATATCTTTGTATTCGCGCTGGCGACCAATGGTGCCCGTCGCTTAATTATGCTTATGGTTACGACACTAGTCGAAGACATTCCAACAACCTTTTAACATTATACGAAAAAATAGAGTTTGATGTTGATCAAATTGTCAGAGCAGTTTTTAAAATATACTGCGGTTTGCAATATAAACGCACTATATGCAATATTTGCAATATAATATATAACTATTCTACACTTAGGTATGGAGAGAAAGGAAGAATATTTCAAGATGAAATTACAAAAACAAACGACTAGTACTCATCGTAACGTTCTGCTTTTGTTTGTTTGTTTGTTTTTGATGGGCCAATACATGCAGTTACTTAAAATTATTTCCGATTAGCGCACATATATAGCTAAGCTTACTGTGTCTCATTGACTTCTGAAGAAGCACAACGTGTGTTCAAATGTTTCTTATGTGCAGCTGTCGATAATTTACGATATGCGCCCTAAACCACTATACTACGCAGCCAATGATTACATTGCGTTTGAACACGAGGCCGTTTTTATTATAACGGTAGGAATACGATAAGCAACTATAGGGCTCATATGGTCTATGTCCCCCAGGGTACTGCCAGAACGTACCCTGGGTACGGTCCGGTATACCTGAACGTACCCTGGTCACTATTTGATATGGTTAGGGTTAGGATTAGGGTTAGGGTTAGGGTTAGGGTTAAGGTTAGGGTTAGGGTTAGGGAGTATAGGCGTAGGCGACTTCCTAGACTCGTTAGTGGAGTAGGCGAGGTACGGTCCGGCATATTAGATAGTACCAGGGTACGTTCCGGTATACCGGACCGTACCCAGGGTACGTTCCGGCAGTACCCCGGGGGACATAGACCCTCTCAGCGCAACTAGGGCTACCAGTGTTTAGTTTTGCACGAGGATGTGCTGGTAACAGCCAACACCTAATAAAAGATGTTTGATTGCCATCACGGTCTTTTTATTGCAAACTTAAAAATACTAACAAACACGGTGTTAGGTAACAAATTATTAAACATTAGAGGTCAAACGGTGAAACAGCAAAAGCTAATATCGTAAAGAATAATTAATGTATGGTACAGCTTTTGAATGAAGACAATGCAGACTTTGTAGACAGCAAAAATGATAAGTATACATATACTTCGAGTTTTTCTCAGAACAACATATATAGCCGCAACTATAAAGACTAGCTGTATTGCGATTTCTAATAATATTAATTAGTTAAAAACTGTAATTAGCAAAGAAGTCATGGCGAAAAATCACATGTGGCGAAAAAATCACATGGGAATAATTATATACCATTTATGTCGCTAACATTGGCGTGGACATGAAAGTATTATATAATACAATAGTAACAATAGACAATTAAGCGCGGGCTGAAATTCTTATGAATTATAGTATTGGAAAACACAGGGTATCAACAAGACTTTTTGTTCACAAATAATGCGCAAAAACAATCGCATAATTTAGATGACTTACGAACGACCAATTACATTGTATATATTATCAGGAGTGAATAATAATAGATATTATTATCTATATATTATGATTATCTATTATTATTCACTCCTGATATTATGTATTTAATCATCCCACCGCCGTGATTCCGATGACAATCAACTCAATAGAATGACAATTTCGACCTAGAATAAAAATTAAAATAGTAACAACAACAACAACAACAACAACATAAAAATGTAAGGTGTCTACCGGCAACTACGAGTCGAAGCCATTCTACTGGACTCACCTACAGGCTTCGACCCAGAATCCACGGCAAGCCAGGCAAGGCCACGGCTGCCACCATATATAAGGACCGCCTGGGAGCAACTGAGTGTGCTCCATTCTACCAGACGGCCAGGACACCGACCGACGTAAGGATCAAACCCTTACAAAATAGTAATTAGTGATCGAGGATAGATCTGATCATATGTATAATTAATTAATTATTACCTTAAATCGTAAAGTGCCCGTGGTACTGACGACTGGTGGCTGAGCATACGGAATTCCCAAAAAGGTACTGATGTTGTAGTATATCCTCTTATTTTGATAGGGATCCTTCGGATCAATCTCCCAGAATGTCACTACTTTCCCACGAACGTGTCCTTTCAATGTCTCAGCAACTGGGTCCTCGAACACAGGCGGTGGCAGGATCTGAGCCCGCAAGAACTTAAAGCCAAGCACTGCCGCGCAAAACCAAATTATCGACAATGTTTTTGACATGCTGCTTTGGTATTATAGCGAAATGCCAGCGAAAGCGTTCAAAAATGGCCAACGCTGCGCAAAGCTCTGTGTCTATCGGAGATTACCTGTATCACGTGATCACCACACCTGGCAGGTTACAATAAAATTGGAAACGAGTCCAATGCAGAAGTTAGTGAAGATACGCTCTCATTGCAAGGGTATATCACATTAGGCAAAGATCAGACTGGATGGACGTTCTTAGGGGCTATTTAAAAGATTATAACGCAGCATCCCGTTCACTATTTTAAGGCGTTACCACTACAGTGCTTGCATGCTTTGTGACTAGTTGGATTTCCCGCCAAACGAGGCGCGCAAATCGCAGGTGTAAATCCAACATGGCTGCGCCCATTTGTAGACGTATTCCGATTTAGTGTTCTTCCGTATATTATATACGCCGCGCGAGTGGGCGAGTGCTTTGCTTTTGGCGAAACAATTTACGTATGTATGTTATAATTTGTCATTCGGTATTATAAGCATATCATTGAACATGTATACGGAAAGCTCAAGGGTTTGCTGGTTATTAACTTATTATTTATTGTACAGTGTGTGAGTACACTCAGTACCGGTGTCCCGTAGAGTTTGGACGCTCGCCGAAACTGGACGCTCCTAAGTGCGCATGCGCGCATGCTCTTTTGTTTTTCTCTTGTTTTCTTCTTGTTTGAATCTTGTTTTGCAGGGCCGTAGGTAACCCGACCAGGCTGTGTGACTAACGTCAATACACCTAACCTAATACCTGTATTCTAACCCTAGCAATACCGCTTCTTGGAGCTAGGCCGTAGGTTGGCCGCCGTGTTTGTTTATTGTGACCGTTTTCGATGGGCGAGATGCGCAGATGACTACTGCGCATGCTGTGCATGCGTCCTTGCAAAACAAGAGGCACCTGCACGCATGCGCACTTAGGAGCGTCCAGTTTCGGTCGAGCGTCCAAACTCTACGGTACACCGGTACTCGGGTATACGCAGCGACGGCGTGTAAATAAAATACCCGCAATCACAGATACTGAGATACCTCAAGGGATATCAACATTCCACTGTAAACCATGCACTCAATTCACGAAACTTCGAGGACCCACTTACAGCAACTAACACGATCTTAATGATGTCTATTTGATACCGTTGAGTAATTGTCAAGAGTGACAGATCGACGTAACCATATAGATGTAGATAATGACATGCCAGCACTCTAGTCTTAGTCCACAGGCCCTTGGAGGCTCAATTAAGTTTCAAGTTTCAAGAAGAGTAAAAGAGCGAAGCGGCTCCAAGGGCCTGTGCTTAGTCTTAAGGCGCGTTTGTTTGGTCGGATCACTTGATCTTGATCCACCGAACCCGACCTTGCTAGCGAGGTGGATTCGAACAGGATCCAATATGGCGGGCCGCGCCTCAGCCAATCAAAGCTTGTTCTTTGTTATGAATCATTCCGTGATAGGTCACAGCGAAACGTAAACCGGTGAAAGTGAGTTTGCGTTTGTTTGGTCAGATCAGGATCAAATGATCTCAATCAGACGGATTCGTCCCAAACAAACACGCCATTAACCATCGACTAGTCTAATCAGTCGTAGATTAGAGTGTGAGGCACAGGCAACACTTGGGCCATTTCAATAATAAAATGATTGTCAATAAACATAAATTATATTTACTACCAAAGTCTTTAAGTTTACATGTTCTCTATCGATGAGTAATCTTATGGTTTATGCAACATGAGTGCAGTGTGCAAGATGCTTGGTTCAGAGTATGTTATTGTATAATCCAATCTATGTGATACCCTTAGGTACAGGCTAATATATTATAGTCATGTCATTTGCTCCATGTAATAGAACGAAGTTCTGTTTACAGAATTGATGTGAATGTCCTGCAATGACGAAATTACACAATACTGGAGGCACTAAACCAGCAGACAACACTAAGCCAGCAGAAAATGCTAAGCTGGCAGACAGCACTAAGCAGCATCCTCAGAATGCAAGTTGGTGGTGCATGGCTTTCATCAGCATAACAGCCATCGGCTTTGCAACAAGGTTCTACAGACTTGATGAGCCCAAGCACATATGGTATTTATAAGTGCCCAGGCATTTTCTAGGTGAATTCTTCATGTGTCTCAATTAAATTTCAAATGATTTTAGTAGAAAACATTGAACCTTTGTCTGTTCATTTTTTAAATGTTAATATGTTTATTTATTTTTCTTATTTCATTTATTTATTCAGTCATTTATAAATTACATGCTTATCCTTTAATCCCACCTTAATGAACATTTCATATGATTGAATTTTGCAGCTGGGATGAGACACACTTTGGCAAGTTTGCAAGCTGGTACATCAATCGAACATTCTTCTTTGATGTGCACCCTCCACTAGGGAAGGTGAGATGATGAATAGTTTGTTATTTCCTGTTAACGATGTAATCGACCATGACTCATTGCTCAAGGGTAAGAAGTTGTGATAAATATATAATATTTGGAAGGATTTATAAATTCTACAGACTATATATAATTAACTATTCTATATATAGTCTGGTCTAGTCTAGTATGGACCTAAAAATTAAATAGAAGGGGAGTAGTGATCATATTCAATGAATCTCTTATTATAAAACTTTACATATAGAGTGGTTTATACATAGTCATGTTCTTTTTATGTTATATTCAATACGATATATCTATATCTATATATATATATATATATATATATATCATCATATATAGGCTATATATATTCAGTAAGTTCCTAAATTTTCCAGATGCTAATTGCCCTGGCGGGAGTGGCATCTGGCTACAATGGGTCATTCGCTTTTGAGACTCCAGGGAATGAATATGGAGACACTCCATACATAGGCATGCGAGCTGTGAGTATACCAGCACTTGAGTTGTCTTTAAAGCATGAAAGTTAAAGGCATACTAGGCCCATTGATTATGCAATGTTGACGAATGCTAGAGTAACTGGCACCTTGTGTAGTTAATAAGTACATAACCTTATAGCCAAACGCATATTAGTTTGTCCAATATCACTGCTGGTTACATTACAAGCAAGACTTGAAATCGGTTGTTGATATTCATTTAAGTGCCGTAAATGTCATCTAGGAGTCAAGCGATGACATAAACATTTGGGTGGCCCGTATCTTTTGGACGCCAGATGAAATGGAGGTGTCAGCGGTGTAACCACGGCCACGGACTAAACATGGAAATGGAGTAAAACACATGTACTAATCACGGACGCACATGGACAGCCCTGACAAAAAGTTCCTTATCACAAGCGTCCGTGTTTACGAAATCACTGATGATAGCATTGCGTACGGCTGAGCATGCGTGTGAAAATGTCCGGTGCACTATAAATCTGTATCACACCCGCTTCGCCGGCAGCGGTTTGAAACTGTAAACAACGGATTTCTTGGACTGCGGATTTCAATTAGACATTTCTTAGTAACCAGCAATGATATTGGACAAACTAATACGCGTTTGGTTGTAAGGTTATGTACTTATTAACTACACAAGGTGCCAGTTACTCTAGCATTGGTCAACATTGCATAATCAATGGGCCTAGTATGCCTTTAAGCCAAATATTCTTGGAGCCTAAACGGTGGGAGTTGATTTTTTTTTGGAAAACTGTAAATTAAGAGTCAGTGCAATAACACCTCATATCCCAATAGGTGGATGGTATTTTTGATAGCATTTTACTAAAGTGGTCACATCTCACCTGAACCATGCTGACGATGCAAATGAACCTGCATCTAACGATCAACTGTCATTTTCAGATATGTTGTGTCTTTGGTTCAGCACTGGTGCCGCTCACCTTTCTCATTGTGTGGGAGAAGACATTGTCTTTGTCTGCTGCCAGTATAGCGAGCCTCTTCATCACATTTGGTATGTGTTCGTATAACACTATTTCACACGTCCACTGCAAATTGCCCCCACACTTCACGCTGGCTAAATCTAGCTGCAATAGATGTTTGCAATTTTTAAGTGTAGAGGACTATACATTCCAATAAATGATCTGTCATCATATGTAATTGAGTGATTTTTATTTATTTTATTTCAGATACAGCTAGTGTTACTATTTCGAGGTACATTTTGCTGGATCCACTGCTCATGTGTTTCATCCTGCTACCAGTGTACTGTTGGGTGAAGTTTCTCTCCTATGGGGAGAAGGCATACACTGCCCCCTGGTGGTTTTGGCTGACATCCACTGGGGCTAGTCTAGCGTGTTCTGTTGGGTAAGAATGTAAAATCATCTTATCAAACGTTGGGTGCATAAGATTTTAATCTAAGATTAAAAACCCACAAATCAATTAATTTAAATGGATTTAGTCAATTTAATTTAAGATATGTTACACGTAATTGTTATATATCCTTGCTAGAAAGTTATTCGAGGCAGTCGGTGCCTTTATTCTAGAAGCCTTATAAATTCAATTAGCTTTTCTAGAGATATTTAGTCGATTCTCTTTTGCCATTTATTTGAGATATCGAATTGCAGAGTGAAGTTTGTTGGCTTATTTGTGGTGATATTCATCGGCATAAGCACAGTGGCTGACTTATGGGACATACTCGGAGATCTGAGGAAACCTTTGGTAGGATCCACCATGATTTTTCCATCTACTTTCTTGCATTTTACGTATTAAGAGGTACATTCACTGGGTTGCCCCTACATATTTTATGAACCGTTTGTAATTTTTTTTTGTGGTTTATAGGTGTAGTGATGTTTGTTAATTTTTAATGAGGAATTAATCATAGATGCTAGAAGGCCAGGGGCTGTTAAACGATAAAGCATTCATGAATCATGATGTGGAAATTCATCCAATCAAGGTGTGAACTGTTGCAAGTATATCATGTGCATAATGTTTTTTTTATAATTAGCATTTGTTCTTGTGTTTCAGTCGAATGTAGCGAGGCATTTTTTAGCACGGGCACTCTGCTTGATCTGTGTTCCTCTTGCAATCTACATAGCTTTCTTTGGCATCCATTTCCACATTTTAAAAAAGAGGTAAGTGCAAGATTTCCATGTCCATTGGACAAACTTTCACATTGATGTGATTGTGGCCAACCCGACTATACTTAGCATATGGAGGATCTGAAGATATATATACCACTTGCAACTCGTGCACCAAGAACACATACAAAAATGCACATTCGTGGATGTACATGCAGTGTGCTTGCTAGTATCTATGTGGATGAGGATGTGCCGGATACTATGAGTTTTCAGCTGATAGTTTATGCGTGCTTACTCGGGTAGCTGGCTTACACAGACTTAATTAAGCACTTCTGGATACTTTTCAGTGGCCAGAATACGGAGGGCTATTTCAGCTCAGCCTTTCAGTCACAGTTGGAAGGAAACCCTCTGAACAATGCCAGCATGCCAGAATGTATGTACATGTCGATTTTTAGCTCATCTGACGAAGTCAGATGCGGCTTGTAGAATCGCATGATCGTCCGTGCGTGTGTGCATGCGTGCGTCCGGCCGTCCGTCCGTCCGTCCGTCCGTGCGTCAACTGTTGGGCACAAATCTTAACCGCTCGACGTACGGTCACGATATTCGGTACGTCGGGGGGGGGGATTGTCAAAAACGAGTTGGGATGTCGAAGCTGGGGGGTCAAAGGTCAAAGGTCAAGAGGTGTAAAAGAAGGGGGAACATTCCCTCATTAACTTAAGGTATAGTGAGGAAATGCAGAATTGCGGCACAAATCTAAATGGCTCGACCTAGGCTCGTGATAGTCAGTGTATAGCATCATGGTAGGAAAAGCCATCACTGTGCCGAAATTGGAGGTCACAGGTCAAAGGTCAATGGGCACAGGGCAGATTTTAGACATTTTCTGAGGACATGGTCTGAACGGCAGGCGATTGAAAAACATTTCTTTGTTTTCAGCGGTGACCTGAAGAGCCGTTGTATGGCTTTTAGTGAAGAAGGACGCATGAAATGGTACCTTGTGCTGAGACCTGCGAACGGAGTGAAGGGGTGTCGGGAATACAGCCCTTTGACCGCCTCAAGAGGAGGAGGGTTTAAACATGGATCTTGGGTTTGACTGTCGTGTTACGAGAAGGATTTGTACTGCCGGGTTTGCTAGGTAGAATCATATACATGCGCGCTGATGTATGGTAGGCTAACGAAATGTCACAATGAAAATTTGCAAAAGGCTAAAATTGCCGTACTTGAAGGAAGGTTTATGCTCCTGTATAGAATCGTATACGATTTCTATGGAAAGTATCTGTAGACTGTCAGGTAGTTAACATGTAAAACGTAGTGGCCACTGCCGGTGCAAATGTGGTGGTGTGGTACTCGTGGTAGGGGGTTTTTTGCCCTGGCGTTAATTTGGTTTACAGGTGGCAGCTCTCTATTGGCAGCCTGTAGGCTTGCGTAGATAAATGGATGAGTGCTTACCTATTCTGTCTTGCAAATAGTTGTTGCTAAGTACTACGTACGATGGGAGCTTCCATCTTTAATCTGAAGACACTTAAACGTACGCGCCATCTCGTGGCAACTTTCATAACGATCCCAACGAACATTCCTTTGAGAAGGTTCCTGATACCATCCTTGTGCATTCGACTGTTTCGGCGTGTATATGAACACATTTGGGACTAACAGGGTTTACTAGAATCCCACCACTCTACCACAGAGTCACCGCAGTAGACGTTAGATGAGCGCTGTCGCTCCGCGGCACTTGCTCATTATAAACTGTTATAATTGCTGAGAGCCTGATTCGGTGCTTATAATGGTAAATATTGATCCATGTTATGCTAATCTTCATATGCGCTGTCACAGATGTCGCATACGGTGCTATACTGACGGTGAAGAACTACAGAGTAGGAGGCCTCTACCTTCACTCACACTGGTCTCTATACCCTAAAGGAGTAGGCCTACCACATGGCCAGGTAATTACTAACAATCTGCAGCACATTGCCGGCAATATAACATACTATTTTATGAGTGCAGTAAAACCGACATATATTGCAATTACTATACTCGTTACATGTCTACCGCAATTAATTCAGATTAAGCCAAAGCTTTTTTAAACTTTGTAGCTTGTTGAATGGGGAATGGCTGGTTTACTAGGTGTTAATGTGATCTTGCTTTGGTTGTTGTGCAGATCACATCGTACTTCTTCAAGGATGACAACAACAAATGGGTGATCAAGGAGGTAGAAGGCGAAACTCCTGGTCAGTTGTTCGGTCATAATTGCGAGGTTACACCCTCTTGAATCGTTAACACCACACTGTTTTATCAAACAAAATTTCTGTAAGCTGCTGATGAAAGTTATCGCCTACTATTGGTTACCGCTTACTGTATACGCTGTATATTTCGCAGTGGTTTAATTTTCGCGAATTTCGCAAACGCGTCCTCGACCACAAAAATAACAACACGCGAATAAATCATACCGAATAATGCATAATTCACCGACCGCGAAATTACCCACTCGCGAAATTGTCCGTCAAGTCTGAATTCGCAAAGATATATCTGTACGCGAAAAATATGGCGTATACAGTATTACGTGCTCGAGCGGTCGATGATGTGCAGAAAGCTCGATGACTGATCCTGTAGGCCTCCAGGTCGAATTGTACATCATGTCCATCTGTCATTTCAGAAGTGCATAATGTTTCAACACCCATAAAACTTGTGAGAAGTGGAGACCTTGTACGTCTGGAGCATTACGTGTGAGTGGCCAAATTCTCTATATATATGCTGTTTTGTTACTGTTATGCTGCGTTTACACTATCGATTTTTGTCAGCAAATCGGGTCGAGTTGGAGCACGTTCTATTTCTCCAACTCGGCGACTTGACTTCGACTCCGACTCCAACACAATCGAATTTCAGCCGATTGTGTTGGAATGCACTTGAAATCGGTACGATTTGCTGACAAAAATCGATTGTGTAAACGCAGCATTAGGCAGTTACATTTTGCAAAGTAGTCTTAGTAGTAGGTAGTGTTATTATGTGAAGATGTCGTATCATAGTAATTACATGCTGAATAAATAATTTATGTCAAATATACAGGAATTCAGCCAACAGACTTAATTTAATGCTTTGCCACCTTTCTCTCCACGAAATTCTTAAGCACACGAAGAAATCTGCACAGTCACAGTGTGCCAGCCCCGATCACAATGAGGCATTTTCAGGTCACTGGCTATGGAGTGGTAAGTTAGTTATCAGTTAGCAGAGTATAGCATCTTTTGCCTATCGCTCAGCTGACAACTTATTATGGTTTCACATTACACATTGTACTGACTTCTCATTGCACTGCTATTACATGTATTAATTAAAATCCTGCTTCATGAGTCAGGTCACAGGCTTGAAACACTATACTGTCTAGACAGAAAGTTATTATTTCTCTACTATCTTTGTAAGCATCTGGAAGAGAATTTTGCTTTGTTTCTGTTCTATATTTACATAAGCAAATTGAAGGCACGTACCTAATCAGTCTGTGAGATGAAATCCAATTGGATCCAATCCATCATCCTTTGGGTTGATATCCAAACAAGGATGATGTCTAACAGGCTATGAAGTTCTGTATTGGATTGGATACAATCCATCATCCTTTGGGTTGACAGGTTGATATCCAAACAAGGATGATGTCTAACAGGCTATGAAGTTCTGTATTGTTTTGTCTTTTTTCTTGATCTGCAATTTTCTGTAGCTTTTAGCATTTTGTTAGCATCATAGTAATGAGTTACTCTCCATCGTAATCTTGCTAAACAGTGAATTATCTGTTAATTTTGTCCACGCTCTTGCTTTATGGTGGGTTGAAATCGCATGACGTCTGTAAAGTTCAGTAGTGTACATAAGGCAGGCTGGACAGTGCTGTATCGGTGTGATTATAGATGCCATTTGCCAGTGCACCTTGCTATGTGCCCTGCGATGAGTGCATGCATGCAAATGGGAAAAAGAGTAGATCCTTAAATATAGCTAATATGTGTAGTGAAATAGCAACTAAATTAAATTTGACATGGTTTTGGCACGTCTGCTTTATGTGTGTTCAGAATGGTACCGGCGACGCTAACGACATCTGGCGGGTGGAAGTGGATGGACAGAAACATGGAGTGCCTGTCAGAACGGTTGTTAGCAACCTGAGATTCATACACGTTAACTCCAAGTGTGCCTTACACTCACACAGCAAGCAGTACCCTAAATGGTATGTTTGTCGTATGTAGTCTAACTATATTAATTTATTTTGCCATATAATATTGCCTATGCTGATCAGTGTTTCCCCTGCATTGACACGAGCGAGGCGGGCTGCCTCGCTCAAATTCTCAGCCGCCACACAGAAATCTGTCTAAAACACCACCTCGCTGACGAAAATCACTGCTCTTCCGTAGAACAGTGCTTATAATAGTCCTAATTGCACCTTTTTTTCAAAAATTTTGAAACCCCGGACCCCATAGCTGGGCAGGCACCTGCGGTGCTCGCTTTGCTAGGCCCTCGAAATGTGCAAACACACACACACAAAATTTACCACCTCACAGACTATTTTGGCCAGGGGAAACACTGCTGATTTTTGTGCACAAAATTACATGGTTGTCTTATGCACCACATATGCAATATGCTTCTGCTGAGTATGTTTAATTCTATGTGATCTTTAATAAAATTGACAAATCTCATCCTTGAAGGGGGTTCGAACAGTTGGAAGTGACCTGCAACCCTGTGATCAAAGATAAGAACACGTTATGGAATGTAGAAGATAATTATTTTCCAAGATGTGAGTGAAATGGTTTAGTAGATTAGTAGACTAGTTTTGTATAGTTACTATCTATCTTGTATGTATGTTCATATATTTTACTTCTACTTGATCTGTTTGTGATTAAATATTTCCTGATTCACATTATTGCAAGGCACATTATAGCGGGGTTCTACTGTATACCAAGTGGTGATTACGTTATATAAGAATCTGCCCTGCAATAATGTGAATTCTGATATAATGTGATCACCACTTGGCTTTTTTTCTCGTCTTTTCTCTCGTCAATTACACTATTAATTTTATCATTACCCCTACCTAATGCAACCCAACATTTTATGTGATTAAATATAATATATAGTGAATATATATATATATATATATATATATATATATATATATATATATATATATATATATATATAATGAATGTTTATACTACAATTTCATTCACTGTGTCTTGAAACTGAGTCTGGTAAAAGTTTAATCTTCTTTGTTCAAGTTCTAGTAGAAGTAAAATGCATTAGTAAGACTGGAGTGCATTGTTAACAAACAAACATTGGTCACAACTTTATGTATTGTTTGCTCACAGAAGCCTAGTGTTGTAACAAGTCAAGTCACTGACTCGGACTCGAGTCGATTCGAGTCGCATTTTCTGGTGACTTGACTTGACTCGAGTCGGAAACCCAAAATGACTTGACTTGACTCGAGTCACCAATGAAAATGACTTGACTCTGACTCGACCGTTATGACTTGACTCGAGTCAATATGACTCGAGTCCTGGCCAGAGACTCGAGTCAAAGCACACGACTCGAGTCGCCGTTTGATGACTCAAGTGCTTCTAAGTTATATATCAAGAGTCCATAATAGAAATTAGCTAAAAATCATGACAAATGCCACTACAGATTAAACAATATTTTGTTACTTGCTAAAATTACTTGCTAAATCTGTTTTTTTGAAATGTTTTGTTTTTACATTTTGATGGACGAGGACATGGGCTACATGTTTGTTTTTCATCACATGCGCTGGCTCCAGCAGTTCATGTGCATGCGATATGGTGACCGCGCGCGATATGGTGTCAGTGTACGACGTACGTACATGTACGTGTATCTTGGAAATCAGCGAAAGTAGCTAAAGTAAAGTTACGGTATGGCCGGATGTGGCCGTAGTCAAGTTAATGGTGACAGGCACGTGCACGCGCGGGCAACTACGGCGAGATGCGTGATCAGGATTCCAATCTATTTCCAAAGTCGTGTCATCTGCAGTCATTGCATCTTCTTTGAATCAATTTTAATGATATTCATTAATTGGCTGATAGTGATATTGTGGCTGTCATGGCAGAATCTGACGATCCTGGACAATCTGTAGTGCAGACAGCAGTGCATTGATTGCTAGAGTAGTTTCGGACCTATTGTTAGTGTGTTAGGGGCAAGTCTTGTGTGGTCCTTTGACATGCATAGAGCAGGGCCCACTGAACGGTGGGGGGGGGTGCTAAGGGGGCTCGAGCACCCCCCACTCTTTGACGCCACATAAAATTAAATGAGAGAGAGTGAGGAGAGAAAAAAAAAGAGAGAGTGAAGAGAGAACTGATTATAACATCTCCCGTAGAACTTCTGCGCTTCGCGCGAACCCACCCCCTGCGCACGCTTCGCGTGCACGTCAACAATATTTTTACACATATAGCCTACCAATTAGGTAATTATTCCCAAGTATAATAGTCGCGTGTCTGAACCAAACGGCACCTGATTCATGGGTTAAATTATGTAATTGAGTGGCAAAGCAGGTTACAACCCTTTTGCAGCTTTTTTTACATTTCCAAGAAAGAGTTTTGCTGTCGCTTTCATCCCAGCGGTGGTCACCCACTACATATTCAATAATGAACGCGACCTAAACAATGCCCCCCCCCCACATCAATTATTGTTCTACTAAAAAGAGAATTGTCGTAGTCAGAATGAAGTCTGTACATGTACTCAAAACTGCCTCAAATACCATCTCCTGCGATCTACATTTTCAAAATTTTCTGGGGGAGGACCCCTATACCCCCACCTGTTTCTCACCACCCGCATCGAAATCCTGCATCGGCCACTGTGGAGCGTAACAAATTGAGCACCCCCACTTCAAAAATCATTCCGCGGCACCTGTAGAGCACTGCTAACAAAGATTATGAATATTTGTATGTATGTCAAAACTCAAATTTGAGTTCATCAGGTGGTCGGGCAAGATACTTGGCCAACAATTGAAATAGAACAAGAACAGTCAAAAACAAAACAAGAATGCCGTTAGTACTAAGTAGCTGAGAAAATTATCTAAAGTGAACTAAACAAACTACATGCAAGAGTGGGGATCTGACATTTCATAAAATGGCTCTTGGTAAAAAGGGTCACCTGCCACTCTGAATAAGTGACTTGAGATGACTTGTTGAAGTCAACAACTGACTCGAATTGACTTGAGCAAATTTTTTTACTTGACGACTTGACTTGGGCAAATTAGTAAATGACTTGACTTGACTTGTGACTTGACCACTGTTGACTTGATTTGACTTATGACTAGACTCGAGGGTGACTCGTTACAACACTGCAGAAGCCATGGTTGTAAATTGTGTTTCTCTCTGTCTGCAGTACCAAATGTCAGTGTGGAAGTATATGCACCTTCTTTTTTTGAGAAACTTGTGGAAAGCCATGCTGTGATGCACCAGGTTAGACAAATATGTTATTTAACACACTTACATGTAATTATTTGTATTTCATATTGAACACATTTGGATTTTATACACAGTAATATCCTATACTATAGAAATAAGGTGTTCCAGAGGAAACGTTTGTAACATGAAATTATGTGATGTGAATCACATTTTCACAGTGACTTCCATTATATATTAGAAATCGAATTAATAATGCACAATAATGAATGCAAGTAATAACCATTCTCAAACACATACACTGATTAATCAATGATGTAACAGAGTTAAATGAAAATACTAGGATGGAAATAAAGTTCAGATTAAGAGTAATGTTCATGTCCCCTGAGTACATGGGATGCAGGACTTTTATTACATTGCTTATAACACTCTTTATGCTCTGAATGTGTTATACGTTTTTTAGGATAGGAAGCCATCTATTGATTGCATGGCACCTTTCAAAGCTGGCCTGTCTGACTTATTGGCTGCATATTTACTGCGCTTATGTTATTCACAGCAATTGACCATGCTAAAATCTTTAGGTAGAAAATCTTGTATACTCCTTTACATGTGTAAATTTACATTTTGTGTCCCTAGATATTAGTATCACTAAGGTTCTTATAACCCTTACACATACAGGGCAATGCTGGCTTGAAACCCAAAGAGCATGAGGTTGTACAATCACGACCTTGGATGTGGCCTCTCAATCTCAAGGTTTGTACCAAGCGAAAGATATGTGTGTGAAGAGTGAATCCATGATGAAGTATGTGACTTTGATATATAGTTTATATACTGTGTCACTGTGTGGCTTTCAATGTTAGTGCAGCAGGTATAGTAGCACGAAACGAAACTTAGCTTGAGGTCAAGCTACGGATATTAGATTGGCATGTCAAAGTAACAGTAATGTTCTTTTAGTTGCTGTCTTGATGAGGCGTTATATATCATACAAAATGTAGTGGAAAATAGTGTATTGGCATGTTACTTGATGAGTATTCATTGGCTGTCTTGGTTGAGGACTCATAATAACAGTATTTTTTTTCGTTTCTGTTGACCCTGTTCAGGGCCAACATTTTTCAGGAATGGAACCCAGAATATTCTTGCTAGGAAACCCAGTAATCTGGTGGATCAATTGTATGGTACTGCTCATCTTCCCTGTGATGTATGCAGTGGCTAGGGTGAGGGAGGAGAGGAACGTTGAAGAGAGAATTGAGATAACAGGTAAAACGCGTGGTTGAAATTTACGTTTCTCATTGCAACAATAAGAACCATCTATGATATTCGAATTCTCATGAAATTCTTGCACAACCTTTAATCTGTTAGTCTTTTGTTTGCCAAACAGGATTTAATTTAATTTTCTTAATTGCCAAATTCATTTGAAGCTAACACAGCAAAGCATGACTTCAGCCAAAATATATATCTGTGTAGTATATTTGTATCACCATGTGCTATTTCCAGAGCTAAAGCACCGGACATTCAGTGCTGCATGGTGGTTGTATCTAGGCTGGGCACTCAACTATCTACCATTTTGGCCTATGACACGAGTACTTTATTTTCATCACTACCTACCTGCGGCAATGTTCAACTGCATGCTAGCAGGTACTTGCTGGGGATAGGATAGCTTGTTGCTGTGATTTTGTGTATGTGCCTGCAGTACGTCGCTATGACTAAAAATATCCTACCAAAGAATTATTGTTTTTGGTACTACATGTTGATTATTTCGTTTAATCATTACTGTTAAGCCATATTAATACCAATTGACATTAATGCTACACATCTTGGAAAGAATGAGCAACTTAGGTGAATACTGCATGTGTTTAAGAGTGTAATAGGTGCTGTGTTTGTAGAACATACCAAAACAGAAGCATCTTGTTATCGCTGGTCCTAGTGTCATCATGGCAAGAGCAGCTTCATGCTTTGCCCTCATAGTCATCATTGTTTGTGCTCTTTTCTTTACTATGCTGTACTGTTTTGCAGGTGTGGTTCTAGACTTTATCTTACAAGTACTGCAGGCATCATTTGCCAATCGCTTGAGTTCAAAGTCACCACAGGGGTCGTCTGCCATTCATCATTTTGGCTTGGGTGTACTCCTTGCTGTTCTTGCATACAGGTAACCTACAAATGCTGTTGGCCTGCTGTCGCAGCTGACACAACTGACACATAGTAATCATAAAATGTAAACTCGATCTTGCTTATGTGCCTGTGCTAGGCAGGGCCATAGCCAGAGGTTAATTTTGTAGGAGGCAAATGTGAGTTAAAGAACAAGGAGCGAAGCGAGCCAATAGGGCGGGGGGTATGGGGCCCACTTAAGGGCCCCAGAAATTTTGTAGGAGGCATTTGCCTCCTATTGCCTAATGGTAGCTACGGCCCTGGTGCTAGGGCTGCAAAAAGCTTATGAGTCATGTGCTAGAGTTTGAAGAAGCCTAGTTATGAGCACTGTGCTAGAATGGGAAGATACTGATAAGGCCTGTGCTAGGATAGGAAGATACTGGTATTGATAAGGCCTGTGCTAGGATAGGAAGGTGCTGATGTGGCCAGCGCTAGGATGGGAAAAGGCTGAATAGGCCCGTGGGGAAGTTGAAAGAAGGCATACGATATCATTTCTGAAGACGATAACACATTGGTTTTTTCTTGTTTGATGACTGCACCAAACCAACCAATGATGGCTACCTTAAATTTGCTTTTTTTCAGTTTTTACCTCTTCATGCCGCTTTGCTACGGCATGGAAGGGCCCAAATCCAATGACAAATCGAGTAGGATGCATGGACTTAAGTGGCTGGAATCTTGGGACATATAGTCGATCTCACTGGCGTTCAACAGTGCCACATTTTATAATTAGTTAGAAATATTGGCTTATTTATTTGTAGCTTATATATAAATAATGGCTCAACCTGGATGTACGATGTACCTAGGGTACTCGAGTAGGTAAACTCATGGAATATGCGAGCCACCAATTACAAAGAACGAAGAAGCATATCCCACTTTGAAGTCAGGATTCGATCGGGTTTCATTGCCAGGCTTTCAGAAAGTTTGATGATTGGATCCAACAATACAGCATTGTTTTGTTTGCATAATATATAAGATATGCTGTATGTTCTGCTGCTACTTACAACCTGGCCAGTACGTACACCTCGTGTTAGGTAATACGTGGATGACGTGATATCTCTCTATCATACATGCCATGCCGGAAGGATTGTCTGTTTACGCCATATATATCATGTGTCCTTTCTTTATAATATCCTATAATGTATTAATTGATTATCTCACAAGTTATTACTTTGCTACCCGTGCTGTCAATATTTATATGCCTGTCACCAGTCGGTTGTGCTTTTCGGTCGTGCGTTCCATGTGCCACAAACTGTTACACGGTTATTTTGCGTGTACAAAGTTCTAAACATAAATCATAACGGTTGATGTGGATCATTCCATGGCGAAGGCATAATGGATAAGCTTGTTATTAGGTTTTATATGAATGTTATGTAAGCTTTATATAAATATATAATATATTTTTGGGTATTTATAAAATATCTTTTATTCATATATTTGTTTAGCATGCTATTAATAACGTCAAGTGTCGATTTTCACTTACGTGAGTAAGATAATATACTCTGATCATACATATATCCAGTAGATAGCACCATAGATACATACATGTGTTTCAGGAGTTAATGAGACAAATATATTCGTTATATTCGTTGTGAGAGAAAAGAAATAAAATACTATTCTAAAATATATACTTAATAATAATATGTGTTATATAACCAAGAGGTGTCGCTGTTGTGACCGATCAAGATGGCAGCCCCCACCTAATGCAGCATTTATGTATTGATCATTGGCATGTATACAATTATACGAGTGAATTGAGAATGAAAAAGCAATTATGTTACAATACCTGTGCATACTTAACGGCAGGGGAGAGCTATTACTTTTAAAACACTGTAAGTTGCAATTAGAAATGCCACAATATGGGTTGTCTTCCACTGCCTGGCACTGCCACTGGCACTGGAACTGGAAGGTCCAGTTCCAGCGCTGCAGTGCAGGCAGGAGCAGGAGGCTGCAGGCATGGCATACATTCCTGGTTCCACCTTTCAGCAAGCATTAATTATCATTCAGCTATTTAGTCTGCTCCGGCGTTTTCGTCGAAAATACCAGATTTTCACCGCTTATTATCTCCACAGTGGCTACGGGTACGGTAGCCGTCGGTCGTTGAAGCCCCTTTTTGGCGTTAGGGTTAGGGTTAGGGTTCTAGCTTATCTAAACTCTCAAATCGTGAATTTATTTCCCAAGGCGTTATTTCGAAATCTGGCGCCACCGCCGCCATCTTTGTCTCGTTAAGTATGAAAGCGAATGGACTCCCGTACCCGTAGCCTCGAGACATTAAGATACGGCTACCGTACCCGTAGCCACTGCCTATTATCTCAGCGTAGAGGCATCGTAGGGACATGCGGTTTGTTTTATATTAACAAGGTAGGACAGCTGATCAATAATACTGGGAAAGTTTATTAATTCGACTAATACTGCTACATGGTTTCAGCATTTCACCGTTGTACGCTCTCCTTCTTTTATATACGATCTTGATGATACGTACGTGTACATTACTCATACTTCGACATGGCTGAGACGAGTACACACTAGCTGTTTCCACCCCAATGACACTGGCAATGGCACCAAAGAGGATGGTTTGGTGTAGCTTTATGATTAATCATACAGTCAGTAATCATTATGAACAATGTCAATTAATGTGAGTGATAATCAGTGCCAAGTGCCACTGGCGCTGAGAGGGTCCCCAAGTTACTGCCGGAACGTACCCTGGTACCAGAGCATATAAATCAACGTGATTTATATGCTCTGCTGGTACTATCTAATATGCCGGACCGTACCTCGCCTACTCCACTAACGAGTCTAGGGAGTCGCCTACGCCTACTCCCTAACCTTAACCCTAACCCTAACCATATCAGATAGTTACCAGGGTACGTTCCGGGTGTACCCTGGGGGACATAGACCCTATGAGCACCACTGGCAATGACAGAGCTCTACACGTTAACATGTTACATGTAAAGTCAACATGTTACCAACCACAAGCTGGCCGCAGGCCACCGAGGCAGGGGAAGCACGGGGGGAGGGGGAGAATTTTTTTCAAATTTGCCACTCGGAGATGCAATTTAGAGACATTTCTCAAAAATAAAATGTTGATAAAATTTTTGGTAGGGCATTTGAAAAATGACGGCCGTATTCCGGAACACCAGGAATACGGCCTATATCCGCCCCTGAGTAAAACATACAAGGTGTGCTTGAAATAGCTGGTCCCCTAGTCACAAGAGGTGACAGAACAGAAACATTTATAGATGGGTGCAGTGATGTTATATCTTGCTCAAAACAAAATATAACAATGAAATGGATATATATATAAATTAAATAGTTCTAGCTGAAATATTATAATTCCAGCTCTGTTTAGTATAAGCCTGGAATAGAGAATGATAGTAAAACTAACTGCTAATAATTCATGTCTATACAAATGGCAGTGGCAGCATTGAAATAATAAATAGACTATTTAGTATGTAGGGTTCTCCATATCCCCTTATCATAGAGCTCTGTTATGTTGTATGACCCCCTTATTGCCGCAGAAAGACTTCCAGCATCCCTCACCTGTTTCCATAACAAATGGTGCTTCATTCCACATATCTTTGCCAAGCGGAGAGTAGGAAGAAACAGAGAAAAAGAATGAGAGGCAATATAAGTTTGAAGAACACAGTAAGACAAGAATAATGCAGGAGTCATGGAACGAAGAGAGCTTTTAATTAATCATAAACCATAAAGAGGCTAATGATGTGAAACCGGTGAACCTCTGCATTTTCGGACAGTGAAAACGTCAATAGCCCTATCAAGGATAAATTGGAAAAGCTAATTTAGTTTTTGACAAGTGAACTGAAATTTTCGTTGGCTAGTATTTCTACCTTGAGGTTACCTGCATTTTAGCACTGCTTACAAGTGATAAGAAATATGTTTGGCACTTGATGGCATACCTTTAGCTGACTCCTAAATATGCAATATATATTCATCACACATTCCAAGATCCCAGTTAGGGTAGGTAATCTTCTCGGGCTATAAAAAGCTGCTCTGAACATTAGGGTCTATGAATCCCCCGTGGCTCAGATAACCATGTAAATTGTGGGGCCCATCTCCAGGAATGGGTGAGAAATGAACCACAGACGATGTAAAACTCTAGCAGCGACCACTCTCTGTCACCTTAGGAAGTTAGGATAATTAATGATCAAGGTCTAATATATAATTGAATGAGCTGAATACAACTAGTTAGTTGGGAGTGTGTGAACAGGTGCTAAGAACATCCTGATCATAATGATTAATGTTGACTTTTGATATCTCCCAATTGCAGATAGAGGAGCTGTCCCTGTGAAAGTCACAGAAACATTTTTTGAACATCTGCATACAGGATCAGGAGCCCCTCGATTTGAGAAAGATGGAAACGTTTATCAATATGTTAAGAAAGGCGATTTATATTTTGCCTGCTCCGTGGAGAAAGATGTCTCACCTTTTCTCATCACAGAATTTTTACAAAGGTGAGGATTCTGTAAAACACGTAATGATGATTCATTGAGAGTAGTGTTGTCAATCGGTTGTAATTTCGTAATCGATCATCGGTTGGACCCAAGTAACCGATGATCGGTTACAATCGGTTGCTCGGGGTGTTTAATGCCTGCGTGTGCGTAACGTCGTGTGCATGTACGTGTGTGCATGTATGTGCTTGTTTAGCCCTGTTTACTGTTTGTTTTGCACTGTTTACTACTGTGTGTATAATACATGTATGTTAATAAAGGATAACTTGTATAGTAGCGATGATATCTCTGATTCTCATCACTTTTCTAAGTTTTCTTGTTCAAGTTTAATTAAAAAAATAAATTGAAAATTTTTCTTTAAACTTTTTTTAATGAAATTGATTATGGATTTTGATAACCAAGCGCTTGGTTCGAGCCACTGTTCAACCGATGATCGAGTATAATCGATGATCGTGACATCACTAAGCGCTTGGTTCGAGCCACTGTTCAACCGATGATCGAGTATAATCGATGATCGTGACATCACTAATTGAGAGTATCGGTAAAATTATGAGGGATTTTCAACACCTAATGTTACATTTGAGGGTGAAATAAATCCTTTGTAAACTTCTGTCTAAAACCCTGTTTATGTACATGTGTCTTTATCGGGAAGGCCAATCATCAGGGTAACCACAGAAGTCAATAAATTTGTCGATAGCTATCATGAACCTATGTATTTATGTATACATATTATCAGGAGTAAGATAATATAGGATATCCTATATTATCTTACTCCTGATATTATCATGGTACAATGTATATATATATATGTATACATATTATCATGATACATTGTATATGTATTTATGTATACATATTATCATGGTACAATGTATATATATATATATATATATGTATACATATTATCATGATACAGTGTATATACATATGCATACATATTATCATGGTACAATGTATATATATACGATTATGGTGCTATATAGAGATATTCTCAAGCACTTGGTCTTATTTAGAGTACACTCAACTTCAGTCAAAGTCCCTCGACCCTAAAAAACGAATTTGATGTTTACAGCGTTTATACTAACAGGATCAATTCGGCTGACATTGAGACTCATTAAGATTTCTGTAGGTAAATTAGACCTTTTGAAAGCAACTGCTCTAAAGCTGTGAATTTTATGCAAAGGTCACACTAAGCAGGTCAATTACTGAAACATGATCGGCAGTTAGCAAACCGACACTCTTTTACCTGTGCAGGTTGTTCTATCTGTGCAAAGACTTTTGTGGTGATGTCAGCGAAGGAGCACTGCTGAAGAACTTTGTTCTTATTCATGAGATGCTGGATGAAGTTGTAGATGGTGGCATCATACAGCAGACAGCTACAGAGAAGATACGTCCTTTTATCTACAGCGAGCCAGCACCAATCTATAAGGATTGTGTAGCACAGACTGGGCTGGTAACTTTATATTACATGTTTGGGTTTTCATCCAAACTCTATTGTGCAGCAGTTGTTTTGTAAATATAATTATGTTCTAAACATAATAACCAGTTCGTCGATTGTCAAAGTTTCAAGGTGAGAAAAGGCAAAAATATTTTCCTATTTTTATGATTTCCTATTATTTACTTGTGATTTTTTGTTTTTGTAACTACTAGTACGAAATACACATTTCCATCTCCCTTTTTTGTTTCGTCGCGTAGTTTGGCGTAGAGAGAAGGATCGCACCAGGAAGTGCAGCCAACAAGCCTGTGATTCCATCTCAAGCTGATCTTGAACTGAGACGCAATGAGGTGTTCATTGATGTGGTTGAGAAAATGACAGCCTTATTTGGGAGTGATGTGAGTACTGGTAATGTTAGGTTTAGTACCTCAGGCTATATGTGTTAGCTATTTAGGAAGTTTTATTTCTTACAGACCTCTTCTTTCAGCAATAAATCATTCTTACACAGACATGAAAAGTAAATATTGTATGATAGTTAATGTAGTATTGTTCAAGAAAAGGGATACATCAAGCCAAATGTTAACCTAATTAGTGAAAAGGTCAATAAAATCACAACAAAATCATTTAATTACAATCTTTGTTGTTACATACTCTAAGCATTTTGTGTTGTTGTGCCAAATTGTATAATTATGGCATCTGAGATCATTAGTAAATCAGTGTAGTTTAGCTGTTTATACTCCATCAGGGTTCTACCCAGGCCTTCAACACAATGTTGGGTCTGACATTGCTTTAAAGTTGAATCTAACATACTATATGCCATAAATCTCCTGATCTTTTGTCAAAATAACTTGCCCTAATTTTCAGCTGTGTTTACCTTTGAGAATCCAAATACCACCCATGCTGTGTGTTCACAGCTCGATGTATATGTCTGTGAACTGATCAAGTTCACCGCTGTACAGTGGGGCTGATTATGACACACGTGCGTAATTGACTCCAATTAGCAATCAGGGATGAATAGCCCGACGTGCTACCTGAAATTCCAGGGGAAACCCGTGCTGCATCATCACACTACTGGTTTAAATCTGCAATTGTTAACACCGGATAAACCTTGATGTTCAGTTGTTCACGAATTGCATCGTTATAGGGGAACGTGCTGCGATCTGAGGTCAGTGGACAGATCCAGCTGAAGAGCTTTCTTGCCGGCTCGTGTGTCATCCAGATGGCACTCAGTGACAACATAGTCATCGGCAACGACCGACATGCGCCAGGTGTGTAACCCACGGCGACGAGGCAACAATTAGATGTTTCAATCCATGGTCCTCAATTAGATCAATTTGGTGTAAGATTAATTAGATCAATTAGATGTTGCACTCAAGAGGCCCTGTGCAAGTGTACCCTTAGACTTTGTCTGAATAATGCCAAGGCATTACATTCGCTTATACAGTGTACTGGCAATATGCGGTTGAGGGTAACCTTATACGATCACACATGAGCGAGACGGAGAGAGAGAGAGAGAGAGAGAGAGAGAGAGAGAGAGAGAAGCAGAGAGGAGAATGAGATCGAGAGAAGAGAGAGAAAAAAGAGCAGCAGAGAAGAGAGATGAGAGAATGAGAGAAGAGAAGAGAGAAGAGAAGATGAGAGGATAGATAGAGAGAGAGGAGGAGGAAGAGATAGAGATGAGATAGAAGAGAGAGAAGAGAGAGCGAGAGAGAGGGAGAGAGAGCGACGAGAGAGGAAGAGAGAAGTGGAGAGAGAGAGAGAGATAGCAGGGGCGGCGAGAAATGCGACGAAGCAGAGGCATGAGAGAGAAAGCTGAGAGAGAAGATGGATGAGGGAGAGAATATGAAGAGCGAGAGAGAAAGCGAGAGAGACGGAGAGAAGAAGAGAAGAAGAGAGATAAGAAGAGAGGAGGGAGAGAAGAGAAGAGAGAAGAGAGAGAGAGAGAGAGCAGAGAGAGAAGAGAAAGAGGATGCAGAAGAGGGGAAGAGATGAGAGAGAGAGAGAGCAAGAGAGAGAGAGAGAGAGAGAGACGAGAGAGAGGAGAAGCGAAGACGAAGAGAGAAGGAGAGAGAGAGAGTTGGAGAGAGAGAGAGAGAGCGAGAGAGATGAAGAGAGAGAAAGAGAGAGAGAGCGAGAGAGAGGAGAGAGATAGCGAGAGAGAGATAGACGATAGAGAGAATGAGGCGAGCAGAGAGAGAAGAGAGAGAGAGGGAGAGAGGACAGAGACAGGAAAGTGAGGAGAGAGAGAGGAAGCACGAGACGAGAGAAGAAATCTCACAACATCACAACAATACTTGAATTACACACGTGTTGCTTTTAGGCATTCAATGCAGCAAAAATAACTTTTCTTCATAAAAATATGTCTCATAAGGCTTATGGCATCAGCCACGTGACAGAGCTGTAAATTCATGATGTGTAAGAGAGAGCAGATTTCAGGAAACAACCACCTTATCACCTGTCCCTCTCAGCGGCGAGTGGAAGAGTCATACCTTGCACACAGTTCTGCAAAAATAATCCTCTAAATAACCGTGTTTAACAGAATTTAACTTTGTCATACCATTCCCTGTAGTGCTTGTAATTTTCCATCAACTAGACATTGGTGGATTCATAAATTCTTATTGATTTGAGGATGCAATTGGGCTATTCTAAACTACATGCAGCATCCTATTTTAACAGCATCGTTCTAAAAGTCCAATTCTTTGTTCACATGAAATTGACGTACGCACGAATTTCCACGGTAAAATTTATGTAAAAAAAAAATCGCCGTTTTTTTTCATAAAAGTAAGACTAACGTTACTAAAATATACCTCAAGCCTCACTCTGAAAAATTTGTTACTTGGTTAAATTTGCAAAAATCTAGAACGATTGTGGTAATTATCATTGTCTAACACTACCCCCAGTTATCTGTCATATACTGGCGCTCTCTTGTTTCACGCGGCAAATTAGGCATAATAAGATAAGGTATATAAGCATGGAAAAGTATAACAGAAACACTATATTTATTTCATACATTTATTTCGTACATTAAGCACACAAATATACTACTTGAAGGTACTAGATAAATTCGTGGACGTAATCACTTTAAATAGTTCTATCTTATAAATGCAAAATTTTATAACTAATGGTCCAACCCTGTTCATCGACTTGCTCTTAGTTTTCAGTGTTGACCCTAGCCAGATTGGGGAGAAGTAAGGACATCATCGTTGCCGTTTGGTCATGTTACAGACCGTGTGAGGACTATGAATGTCAAAGTACCCAAATTTTATCCTACTGGATCCAATGGTTCTAATCAGTGTCATGATGCTCATCTAATTCAACTCCTATACACTCTACTCTGATTCCTCTTTGCATACTTCTGAAATGCTTCTACATACTTATCTGTATTCATTTTGCTTACTATAATTGTTCGCATAACGCTTTACTTTACAAATTACAAATGATGAAATTAAATATGCACATAAGAGTTGATTGTAGCCACAAGTATCCCAGTTTTCCCATTACATGAGCTTATTCTAGTGAATGTTTCATAGGGACATGAGGACATTATTGAAGACTTCGCTGTGATATTCCTACAAGAACTAAAGCAGGAACATCTCATCTAACTATACCTGTTCCGTAAGGAGACTCAGGGTATTCATCATTTACGTGTAAAATATTGTAGCATAAAATATCCATAATACAGTTGGAAAATAGTAACAATGATAATTCTGTAAAGATTCGATCATTCATGAGATCGGTGAGACTATCGAAAACACAAAATTTAATATCAACTGCTAATAAATAATACATGTGTAATTAGCTGTTGTTAAAATCTTGATATTAAAATTTAACTATCTCTAACTCCAAGTACTCCCATAATGATACACGACATAAAATGTTCAATGTGATTTGTGATTGGGTATGGTTTGGGTCGTTTACAGAAGTCGCATCAGTTTGGGCTATCCGGCAAAACTGCAGAAATTCCAGCCCAAGAGAAGCAAATGTGGAAAGTGAACAGCAGGAGAGAGGAAACGATTCACAATACGCATACAATAAAGGTACCCGGCTTTGTATTCTTCAAGTCGAGTTTAAATAAAAGCCATTCTTGTATAAGTTTTGATGCCAATGGATGAAGGCTAGTTTAATCACACTCAGATTAAATAGAGGTTGTCCTTAATAGTACCACGTGCCACCAAAACGGCTTTTTGATCCACTAATCATCGTACCCGCCATTTGGACCGTTTCCAGCCCAATAATGTGCCCTCATTACACCAGACATGAGTTTAATCGACTTGTCTTTACTGTTATATATCCAAAATCACCAATACGCTAACAAATTCCAACAACATATTTCCATTTGAGCGTCCTGACAACACGCACGAAGCGCTCAGCGCATGAGAGCGGGCCCACCGTGCTGACGTTTGAGTCCACTACGTCCTACAGCTGATTGCGCACGTCTGGTGCTCAGGCTCTTCGCAACTGCTCTTCACGCCATAATCTGTCGTTAACGTAACGCTCAGCGATGCCTACACCTTCAGAGTCTGATGGCTGATACCGTGGGCCTGTATACCTTGTGTATTATCTCCCACCTCTTTGTTGATGTCCCCCAGAAGATGTCCACTGGAAGTCACTAGTGGGTAAGAAATTAGTGTGATTCACTTAACATGTGACTGGCCCATCGGTCCTAACCGAATGTAGAGAAGTCAACCATCGATACAATTAATTCATACTTTGCTACTCTAGTTATGCAATTATATCAATAGATGTAATTAATGTCCTCCACGAATTTCATTGAGCAGCGAATCTGAAGACTGCTCGGATCAGTGACATCGCTGAAGGGAAGGTATGGGTTGTAAGGAGGGTGGTGAAATTGTGATATAGAAACAATGGGTAGGAACTTCATGGCATACATATTTGTAATATTATCTTGGTTTGTACGTCCATTCTTACAAGGTATTGACCCTCTATGTCACTTGCTAGAATGCCATCTAACTCCAGTTGGGCATATTAAATGGCCTTAAACGTGAAGGCATATATTTATATGTACATTACCACTCTTTATTAAAACCATTATGCAAAATGTACTCGTGCCCTATGACTTATGAGTTTTATTCAATCCTAGATGGTGTCCATACATTGCATTGCTAATATGTAGATTAATGAACCACAGACATGGCCGTCTAACAATTTTTGGTAATTTAAACTTATACACTACACCGGACTGTTTTCTAACAAAATGCAATGATTTATTTTGGACCATGAAACTGACATGTCTGAAACACGCATGTGATAAAATACGGTAAATTAGATGGATTTCATAAAATAGCAAACTCACTGCAAAGTTTCTTAGCATCTAGGACACGTAAAAAACCGTTATATGCCAAGGAAAGTAAATACCTCGACATGACATCTCATATTCAAGTAATTCACTACTTGAAATCGAGCGATTATAAATGGTCTCGATTAAGACTTTCATTCCAGTAAAAAGCACGACAGAAAACTAATATGTGGACAAAACAACTGATAACGTAGAAATAATGTCGTGAAGAAAGTACATAGACATAGTATTCTCAATGCTCCGCCAGACGCGACGCGTGTGCGTAAAGTTTTAACTCAGGTTAAGTCCATTTACTTACAAATACAAGCAATTACAACCAGACCAATCTAACTAATTTAAACTCTACTTACCGGCTGCCTAATGGATTTCTCGCACAAGCACACGAAAAACTGAATCCCGCGACAGCAAAACATTTTCGACGATGTATCCTCAATAAACACAATGAAATGCCGTGAAATGTACTTACCAATCGACTGCGCATTTATTCTGAACATATTCCACACAACAACACACCTCCTGCACACCACACCAAAACACACACTCTCAAACCAGCATTAAAAAAGCTTCAAAACTACAGTCAGAAAGCACAATGACACACAGAATAACATGATAATAGATCTGCAAAAATATAAAGGCAATGACAGCTAATGTTCAACACTTGGGTCAATTAGAAGAACGTGAATGACCTTTAAAAATTGGTAAGCGTTCATTAGACGAAAAATGGATCAAAGCCTATTGCCCTGTTTATACAAAGAAATTTCGACGTGATTTGTTTCAGGTTAGTTTGAGCGAAAATAAATGTTTCAGATCGGGGAAGTCTGAAATCTTGGTGAAGAGATTGGTGCTACGGCCATAAATGATACCACTTTTGGGTTATTTCGATTACGTGCAAATAAAAGCCAATACAAATATTCCATTCAAATACTGTAACAAGATCAAAAACACAATATTACACGATGTCATAGTGTCAGATCAACCCAATGGGTTAAACACCTGTACCCTTTCCAAAATTGCTGAATTTGGTTGATGGGGTAAATTCGGCTGAAAAGAGCTGAATTTCAAATTTCCAGCTCCCCAGACAAACGGTTTTCGCGGCTACGGCAAACGCCCTTTTTGCGATTTTGGCCAAAATGGACCACCCTGTCAATTTTTCAAATGGTCATATCCTGTTAACACTAGTTGCCAAATTGGTTGATATGGGTCTTGGAAAGCATAATTGCATAAGGCCAACCAAATGTCTTATTGTTATATAGGCAGCCAGTATAAAGTTTGATGACTTACCTTGGAATTTGAACCCTGTATTCACCTAACCTTGAGATCGAACTCATTGAAAATTAATACCTCAACATGTTCTAACATAATATACAAAAATTAGAAGATAAATATTTTTGTTCTTTCCAATCTTCTCAAATGCATAGTAGTGCAAAAGGCCTACGCATATGGGCAATGCGGTAATCGTATGGCACAAATGTATACCATTTCAATCTATTTCGGTATCAAGTTAATCCCAAAACATTGCTTGCGTAGCATAACCGATTGAGATGCACAGGTGGCAATAATCATTCTATGACTATCATTAATGAAAAATCATATATTACCAGTTTCAAATATCAATAATTCAGGATCATTCAATGATCAAGTCGATGCACACTGAAATCCTCGCAGTGCATCGATTTCCTGAATAAATAACTTTCGGAAGAGATAAGTAAAGATTGGGTGGATTGTACACAGAAATATCATCTTCTGAACCCATCATTGACCTGTTCCAAAGGCCATTTGAATGCTGGTAGGCCATTAGGTGCAAAAATGATGTTAACACCAAACTCCTCCGAAATTTCCATCAACCATCAATCCACGGAAAGCCGCATAAGACAGCAGATCAATTTGTTCCTGTATTTCTGAATTGCACAGATGGTCGTGTTCAGTCTGCGTCATGAAACTGTCTGAAAACATGTACTAAACCGCAGGTCCAGCTTGGTTACTGCAAACTTTACACATGTACAATAGAGTGAACTGACAAATCGTGGTATTGCAGTGTCTCTTTGATAGTTTTCAACCATATCAAACCTCGCCTTTAACCTGAAGCCTGATGAGTTACACCTCGTTTGTCAGGTTCACATGAAAAACGTGATACCTGAGGATAGTCTTGTCACGCATAAATCCATAATTCGTCGCGCGTCAGAACGGTCAATTATATGGCGCTGGCAGGCCTAGCCTGGGTGACTAGTCCTACTGACAGTCCCTCATATACGTTCACAGCACCTTTGCCTATGTGATGTTGCAAAATTCTGAGACAGTAATAGCATAACTAGAATCCCATAACCATCTGTGCAATCATAAATAAAGAAAACAAAACTTGTCGTTGTCTTTATGACGGCTTCCGTGGATTGGCATGGTGAGAAATTCAGAGAGTTGGTGACTACCACATCAATTAATGCACCCTCATGACCAACAACTATCAAAGGCCATGAAACAGATCAATGCTGCGTTAACATGAAGATGATATTCTGTGTACAATAAATCAACACCCCATAGCTTAACCTCGCCTCTCCAGAAACGTACGTTCATCTCAGGAAAACGATGCTGCCGAGGATTCAGGTGCATCCGATTGATCATTTGATGATCAATGAATACTGATAATGAAAACATGGTAATTATAGATATGATTTTTCATTAAACTGAATAGTCATTTAGTAATGTTGTATTGCACCTTCATCTCAAATCAGTTTATGTACAGCAAGGCCAATGTTTGGTGTAACTGATATCTAAATAGATTGGTATGGATACATATCGTGCCTACATGTACAGCATTGCATAGGAAGTACTAGGCGTTATTGCCACCTACGTATGCCAACTTTGAAAGAAGCTGAAAGCCAACAAAAAATATTATATTCTCCATTTTGTATATATGTAGAAAACATGTTGAAGGTATAATTTTCAATGAAGTTCATCTCATAGGTTAACGTAATCCACAGTGCAAAGTAAAGCGCCAAAAGGTTCATCAACACTTATATACTGCTCTATATAACAAATAATGACAGATTTGGATGCCTATGCAATAGTCATTTCCGACAAGACACCAATTCACCAATCTTGGCCTATGTAGTTACAGAGATACTGACCATGAAAATTGACGGTGCGTCCATTTTGGCAAAATCGCCAAAAAGGGGTGCCGTAGCGCGAAAACCGTTTGTCCGACGGAGCTGAAATTTGGAATTTCATTTTTCAGCCTAAATTACCCATAAACCAAATTTCAGCCAATTTTGAAGGAGGCAGGTGTAAATTCCATTTTTTGGGTGATTTGACACGGAATGACCCGTATGTAAGATTAGGTAGGTAGGTAAATTTAACAAAATCGAAAATCTAGATGGCCATTTCACATTTTGCCAAAAAAGAGCGGTGGCTCGAAGAGGTCAACTGGCGTGCTCTAAAATAGAACGTACAAATCGCCTCCCATAGAGTAAACAACTGTATGCAATTTGAAACATGTGGGTCAAACGGTTCTTGAGTTATCATTGACCGTAGGCAGACACTGAAATGCATAGTGAAATTGGCAAAATCTACCTAATTTGCATAATTTAAAAAAAATATCAAAACCCCTGTGATATGTTTTGGGGCCAGTCCTTATTCATTCACATACCAAAAATTAGCAAAATCCGTTGAACCTGAACTGACTTATGGCAATTTCCGTTTTTGCCAAAAAGTGGACGTGGCTCGAAAGTAGGTAAACTGGCATGCTCCAAAATAGGACGTTCACATCTCTCCCATAGGAGTAACAACTGTATGCAATTTGAAACATGTGGGTCAAATGGTTCCCAAGTTATTGTTGACCGTAGCCAAATGTTGACGGACAGACGGACGGACGTACGACGGACGACACCCCAAGGCAATAGCTCATCTTGACGATGTCAATGTGAACTAATAAGAGAGAAACCTTACCTGTCTCTGTTAACTGGTTTGGATTTCTTCTTGCCTTTGCCTGTTTTTGGTTGTTCCACCCACATCTCCTTTACATTCTCAAGGACCATATTACAGTGTCTGAAATTCAAAACCGCACCGATATAGTCACTCGAATATGGCAGGAATACAAGTGCAAGTTTGCTGTTCTTTTTCTGTTTTATAGCAAAAAAACAGCACAAACTCGCAGTAATTTTTATGCTGGAGTAATCAGTAATATTCCAGCGAATAAGTTAGAACTATTTCATCTACATTTTCATTTTTCAATTTTATTTCAAAAATCACAATTTTAAAGGAGGTATAAGGCTGTCTAATCCACACTGTTGGCAAATTGCAAATGCTAGAACAACTGACACCTGGTGTCCCTTTGAAGTTTATATAACCTCACCACTGAATTCACATTAGATCAACCTCCAATTCGGCGGATGCCACTTGAAATCTTTTACAACTACATTCACAACACATGAAGATGATTTTCAATTGAGATTTATATTACTAACCAGCATTTAAAATTGACAAACAAATATAAATTGGTGATAAGGTTAAGTATTTACAAACAACACAAGGTGTCAGTTAATCTAGCATTTCTCAACAATGTGGATTAGATGGTCATATTCATACTTTATAGGGAAATAGGTTATGTGTATCACAAATCATTAAGCTGATTGGATCACAGTCAACATATAGTGTAACACTAGGTATAAAACTGTCAAATATACCTGTCAAATGCTTTCACTCTTGCAAGCAGCTTCTTGTTATTTCTGCAGTTTATGAGAACTTGTGTATTGTTTTTCACTGACTGAGTAAGGACAGACAGGGGTCCGGTGTTAAATTCCTCTTCCTCCCGTTTTGCGAGTTCTTCAGGAGTAAGTTCTGATTTTGGTTTTTGCAAAACTGCTGCCCTGTAAAATACACAGATTGCACATGTACCATACTACAGACTACACTGAATTGAGGCACTACCACTGCAAGTAGGCCCATCAGATCTGTCCTATATTTTTTTATAATCTGACGCTAATTTAGGGCTCAACAACAGGGGAAAAAATACACGGGGGCGGCGGGCGGTTTCGCCCCCGAAATGCCAAAAAGAGCCCCCGAAAATACGATATCGGGGGCGACCCCAAAAGCAAAAGTCGCCCTGGAAATCGATTGTCCAGGTCGGTCCCGCGCCTTGCCGATCTCGCTCGGCCTCTGCCGCTAGCGGCAGCCGGTTCCACGGCGCGGTAGAATTCCTGGTATAGGGGAGGGAGAGAGAGAGGGAGCACGAGAGAGAGAGGAGAATATTCACACATCACAACTAATACTGGAATACACACGTGGTTGCTTTTAGGCATTTCAATGCACAAAAATAACTGTTTCTTCATAAAAAATTCTCATAGGCTATGGCAGCACCACGTTGGAAGGCTGTAAATTTCATGATTGTGTAAAGAAGGCAGATGCAGGAAACAACTACTTGATCAACCCTCCTCAGGGCGAGGTGAGGAGTCATCCTTGCACACAGTTCTTGGCAGAAAATTAATCTCTCTAAATAGCCGTGTTTACAGAATTTTACTTTGTCAACCATTCCCTGTAGTGCTTGGTAATTTTCACACTAGACATTGTGGTATTCAAAATTTCTTTTGATTTTGAGCAGAATTGCTATTTAAACTAACAAGCAGCATCTATTTTAACAGCATTCGTTCTAAAGTTCCAATTCTTTGTTTCACATGAAATTGACTACGTCACGAATTTTCCACGGTAAAATTTGTAAAAAAAAAAATCCCTTTTTTTTTTTTCATTAAAAGTAAGAACTAACGTTACTAAATATATCCTCAAGCTCTCACCTGATAAAAATGTATTTACGTTGGTTAAATTTGCAAAAATCTAGACGATTTGGTAATTTCTGTTGTCTAACACTATTCCCCCAGTACTGTTCAGATACTGGCGTCTCTCGGTTTTTCACCAGCAAATTAGGGCATATAAAGAAGGTATATAAGCATGAAAAGTAAACAGAAACACTAATTGTATTTTCATACATTTTATTTTGTACATTAACACACAAATATACTACTTGAAGGGTACTAGAAATTCGTGACGTAATCACTTTAAATAGTTTCTATCTTATAATTGCAAAATTTTATAACTAATGGTCCAACCTGTGTCATCTGACTTGTCTTTAGTTTTCAGTGTTGACCTACCAGATTGGGGGAGAAGTAGGACACACGTTGCCATTCAGGTTACAGACCGTTGTGGAGGACTATGATGTTAGCAGGTACTCCAAAATGTTTATCCTACTGGATTCCAATGTGTTCTAATCAGTGTCCATGCATGGCTTTCAATCTAATTCAACTCTATACATCTCTACTCTGATTTCCTTCCTTTGGCATACTTCTGAAATGCTTCTACATACTGTATTCTGTGATTATTTTTGGCTTATCTTAATGTTTCTGCATTACCTTCTACTTTACAAATTACAATGATGAAATTAAATATGCACTATATAGTTGATTGTACCAAAAGTATCCAGTTTTCCCATTACATTGAGCTTATTCTAGTGAATGTTTCATAGGGACATGGAGGTCATATTGAAGCTTCGCTGTGATATTCCAGCAAGAACTAAAGCAGTGAACATCTCTCTAACTATACCTGTTCCGAAGGAGACTTCAGGGTATGTCATCATTTACTGTAAATATGTAGCATATAATATTCCATTAAGTTACAGTTGGAAAATAGTAACAATGTATATTCTGTGAAAGATTCGAGTCATTCATGATGGATTGGTGGGAGGACTAGCGAAACACAAAATTAATATCAAGGGCTAATAAATAATACATGTGTTATTAGCTTTTGTTGATATCTTGATATTAAAATTTAATTATCTCTAACCCTAAGTACTCCATAATTGAGTACACGACTAAAATTTCAATGTTGATTTGTGATTGGGTAGTGGGTGTTGCGTTTACAGGATGTCACATCAGTTGGGCTTATCCGGGCAAACGGCAGAATTCCAGCCCAAAGAGAAGCAAATTTTGTGGAAAGTGAACAGCATGATGGGAGAGACGAGTCACATCGCACAATTTAAGGTACCCGTGCTTTGTATTCTTCAGCGAGTTTAATAACAAGACATTCTTGGTATTAGTTTTGATGCCATGGCATGAAGGCTATTTAATCACACTCAGTATTAAAAGAGGTGTGTCCTTAATAGCACCACTCCAAAAACGGCTGGATCCACTAATCTTCGACCCCATTGGATCCGATTTCCACCAATAAGTGTGCCCTCATACACCAGACAGTGAGTTATTCGACTTGTCTTTACTGTTATATATCCAAATAATATTTGTCATGCTACCAATACCAACAAATGTCCACAAAATATTTCCATTTTGTAGCTGTTCCTGACAACACGCACGAAGGCTCAGCGCATGGAGATCGGGCCCGCCGTGCTGACGTTTGAGGTTTCCAACTACGTGCCGTCACAGCTGAGGGTTGCGCAGGTGCTGGTGCTCAATGGCTCTCACTCCTTCACGCCATATCGCTGGGTGCGTTACGTAACGCTCAGTGATTCCTACACCTTCAGAGTCTGATGCTGATTACCGGTGCCTGTATACGCGTTGTGTTATTATCCCCCACCCCCCAGAAGATGTCCACAAGTTTCAGCTAGTGGGTAAAAATAGTGTGAATTTCACTTAACACCATCTCTACCAATGGGTATAAAGCACCATCAATTTAATTTCATTACTTGCTACTTCTAGTTAGCATTATATCTAATATATGTGAATTAATGTCCTCCTGATATTTGCATTTGACATGGAATTAATCATGGATAGTGGACATCAAGGAAGGTATGTGGTCTTAGGAGGGTGTGTAAATTTGTGATGTATAGAAACATGGGTATGGAACTTTCATGGCATACAGTATTTTGTTAATATTATTTGGTTGTACCTTCTCATTCTTAAAGGTATTGACCTCTCTATGTTCACTTGCTAGATTCCATCTGAACTCCTGTTGGGCATATTATGCCTAACGTGAGAGCATATTATTTATTATGTACATTTTACCACTCTTTTATTAAACCAGTATCAAATGATGTACTTGTGTCTATGACTTATGATGTTTTTATTCAATCCTGATGTGTCCATATTTCATGTCTGCTAATATTTATGATTATATGACGCTACAGACATGGCCGGCTTTACATTTTTGGTAATTAATACTTATGCACTAGGACTGTTTTCTACAAAATGCAAATGATTTATTTGGACTCATGGAATGACTGAACATGTCTGTAAACACGCATTGAGTAAAACGGTAATAATGGATTTCATAAAATAGCAACGTCACTGCAATTTCTTAGCATTAGTGATCACGTAAAAAACCGTTATATGCCAAGTGAAATGTAAATACCTCGTACATACATCTCATGATTCTAAGTATATCATTCTTCTTGAAATCACATTATAAAGGTTCTCGATTAAACTTCATTCCATGTAAAGAAGACTGACAGGAAAACTAATATTGTGGACAAAATCAACTGATAAGCGTGAGATAATTGCGTGACGAAAGTACAAGACATTATATTCTCAAGTGCTTGAGAGCGAGTGTGGTAAAAGTTTTACAGGTTAACCATTTACTTACAAGAATGACAAGCACAATTACACAACAGACTCAACTAACTTATTAAATCTACTTTCCGGCTGCAAGTGGATTTCTGAGAACAAGAATAACTGAATCCCCGCGAAGAAACATTTTCGAGATGTATCTGCAATAAAACAAATTGAAATTTGGGTGAAATGTATAACCACTCGACTGCATTTATTCTGACATATTTATTTTCCCAACATTTTATGCAGCATTTACACAAACTATGTCTAGTATCTGTCTGTGCATTTAAAAAAGCTTCTGTCAGATAAGCACAATGCAACAGAATTAACATGTAAAATATGACTGCATAATTATATGAAAGTGTCAATGACACTATAGTTCACCTTGGGTGTGATAGAAGAGGGAGATGACATTTAAAATTTGGTAAGCGTTTCATTTATGACGGACCAAAATGTGATCAAATGTCCTTATTCCCTGTTTTATACTAATAGAAATTTCACTGATTTGTTTCAGGGTTAGTTTTGATGCGAAAATAAATGTTTCAGATCTGAAAGTCTGAAATCTTGGTGAGAGATGGTGCTACGCCTAAATGATCGCCATTTTGGTTTTCGATTATCGTGCAAATAAAAGCAATAAAATATTCCAGTCAAATTACTGTAACGAAGAATCAAAAACACAATATTACACGTATGGGTCAGTGTCAGATCACCCAATGGGTTACACCTTACCCTTTCCAAATTGGCTGAAATTTGGTTTATGGGGTAATTTCGGCTGAAAAAGCTGAAATTTCAAATTTCAGCTCCCTCAGACAAACGGTTTTCGCGCTACGGCACGCCCTTTTTTGGCGATTTTGGCCAAAATGGACGCACCCGTCAATTTTCAAATGGTCATATCTCTGTAACTACTAGGCCAAATTGGTTGATATTGGTGTCTTTGGAAAGCTAATTGCATAGGCAATCCAAATCTGTCATTATTTGTTATATAGGAGCAGTATAAAGTTTGATGACCTTTTGACCTTGAATTTGACCCTGTGGATCACGTAACCTTGAGATGAACTTCATTGAAAATTATACCTCAACATGTTTTCTACATAATATACAAAAATTAGAGATATAATATTTTTTGTTTGCTTTCCAGCTCTTCTCAAAGTTGGCATAGTAGGTGCAATAACGCCTATTCCTATGCAATGCTGTATATGTAGGCACATATATGTATACCATTTCAATCTATTTCGGATATCAAGTTAATCCCAAACATTGGCTTTGCTGTACATAACCTGATTGAGAATGACAGGTGGCAATAACATTCTAAATGACTATTCAGTTTAATGAAAAATCATTATATTACCATGTTTTCAATTATCAATAATTCATTGATCATCAATGATCAAGTTCGGATGCACACTTGAAATCCTCGCAGCATCGTTTTCTGAGATAAAGTACTTTCTGGAAGAGGATAATGTAAGAGATGGGGTGTTGATTGTACACAGAATATCATCTTCTGTAACCCAGCATTGATCTGTTTCCAATGGCCATTTGAATTGCTTGGTAGGTCCATGAGGGTCAGGAGTAGATAATAGGGAGGAGTGTGACATCAATAAACAAGGGAAATTT